AAAAGAATGAAAAGACACCAAAAAAAANAAAAAAAAAAAAGAAACAGGAAGAAAGAAGAGTTGGAAAAGAGTCTAGTTCGCTCAATTCGAGTCTGTTAGGCAGAACTTGATAATACGAGTTGGCGGTTAAACCAAGCAAGCACGTGCGTTGTCATTCGTTTGCAAGCCACAGCGAGTCGCTCGCTCGCTCGCTCACAACTTTACCCAGCCAAGAAAAGGCAATATAGGTAGGTATCCGACGCAAGCAAACATCAATGCGCTGCGCCCTGTATACAGTGGGATTTCTCGTGGCCAACAGGACGTCTCATTCCCAGCCCGGCTTTTGCTCATTCCTTTTTTGCTCGTTCAGAGGCCGAGCTCGATGGAGCAAAGTCGCCGTCTTGGGGAGCCAGCCAGACCCCATCATCCCTGGGACATTTGGCCACAATATGGCGGTATTTACATGCTGCTGCCATGCCCATCTGCCGTATTACATACATGACATGCAAAACAATTGATTTGCAGCCATGTGTTTTGTGGATCTGACCGACATGCCTCGCTGTCCGCCATCCGCTGTCCGCTATCCGCTGTCCGCCGAGTTTGGTGGAGAGCGCGGTCTTGCCTTGCAGCTCATTGTGAAGCACCTCTGTTAAGTAGATGAGACCAGTGGGCAGCCCATGCGATGCAAAAGGGAAACGAGAAACGTAGGACGCTTCATCTGCACCGAGTTTGGGCCCGTCGAGGCATAGGCACAGCGTCTGACAAGAAACATGTATTGCATCTCGGGCTTCACCACCGCCTGTGGTGTTACGCATCGATTGCATTAGCAAATGTGCCTTTGATGCATCTCACCAGCCCTCGTCAAGGAAGCAGATTGAAAGCTGCCATGCATTATCTACCTATCGGCTTAACGAATCGGCTTAACGAGATGGCCTCGGATAAAAAGTACCGCCAATAATGAGACACTTATTGCGCACAAGAGGTCAAATGGATCTCTTTGCGGCAGTCATCCGCACGGCTCTTGAACAAGCCACTGATTGATAAAAAAACATGATTTACGGAGTACGAATATGTGATTTCTTGCAGTGGGCCGGAAGCCGGCATATCACCGATGCTTTTTTCGACGTCCGTCATGCGTTTGGAGCCCCGGCATATTATCAGTACCGAATATGATATTAACGTCCAACGTTATTACTGGGAACCCACCGCGACGACTCGTCATGTTTTTTTCCCTCCCTATTAGGCTATTACCAGTAGAGTTACTAACCAATTACCAGCAAGTATTATTACTTTATGCCCTGTGCCCTGGCATGAAAGGGGGACAGACGCACTGACAGATCGGTTGTCGGTCGCGAGCTTCCCCGGGCTGTCATGGAAAAATTTTTGTGCCTGGGCTGGGCTTGGCGGAAAACCTCGGACGAGCGTGATGTTGAGTAATTTCATGCGTAAATTCCATTTCTTCCGAGCGTAATCTGGCAAGACGAGAGAAATGTCAAAGAAAAAAAAAAACGACGTGCGCACGCCCGTGTGTGCTAGGTGTCGGCAGCATGGGTCGCGACAACGCACGGTCATATGCCATCTTTTCGAGGAGAGAAAAGAAATGGGGTTTTGGCAGTTTTTTCGTCGAAATTACGCCAGCGGAGGTATTTCCGGCGTGACTGCTGTGGCCTTGTCTCGGGTCTTATGCAGCCCAAGTCCCAAGTTTTTGGTGTGTGCTTTGTGCCAGAATGACAACCGACAATGCAGTTCTTCGTTAATCGTTCAGCAAACATCGTTTAGAGTCTAGCAGCGTGTTGAAATGGGACCCTCTGTGCGGCTATCCACACGCTCTTGGGCCATGAGCCAAATGAGGTTCCGCTTCATCTGCTTGGCTCACGGACACTAATTGGATTAGATCTTTTCCACAAGCAACGAGTGGCGGGGTAGCGTTGAACCATATCTTGCTTTGAGCGAGCACGGTCTGCAGATTCTCGGTCATGAATCTCTTGTTCATCTTTCACAGAATTGCTGCACGAGCCTTGTAGCCGACGAGATGATGCCATCAAACGCCGAGTACCTGGGGGGGTGGAAAGGGGGGTTGAACAAAGTAACTGTGGCGTTATCGTGTGGCCATAGGCTGAAAGCAAAAAAATTTGCGTTGAAAAGGATTTCTTCACTTCTAATTACAAGAAAGAAGAAAAAAAGCAAATACGGCCGCAGCAAAGACCTGATGATTTGCGAGTAGGCGCCACACGCTTTGATGATGCGCCTGCATGGATGGGGAGAGAGGGGCTGCACATGGCGAACCATGTGTGTCGAGCATGATGTGGCGCGGCTGAATGCAGCGCGGATGCGACTACCAGTATTATTGGTAGAGAGGGGTATTTGAACAAAAAGCAAGGGAAAAAAAAAAGAGAGACAGAGTTAAAAAGGGTAAAAAAAGAAAAGAAAAACGGGCATGTCGGTGAAATTGACCACACGCAAGCAAGGCTGATTAGGCCACGAATGATACGGTGCCGTCATGCTTGCTAATGAGCTTGGACACTAAGTTAGTACCTAGTAAAACGAGGTTGACAAGTTGCCGCCTTTTTGCTAAGGAGGAGGAAAAGAGTAATAAAGAACAATAAAAAAAAAAGAGAGAGCAAACCACGCCACCCCGCTCTTTGACGGCACACAAGAGGTGCTATACCGTTGCATTGAGGGGTGTTTTATCTCGTGGTGCAACAGTTGCTGTGGGAGGGGTGAGGTTACCGGTGCGGTGGTGATAGCGCGTGGCACATCGAAGCCACTTTGGACTTGTGTAAAACACCAGAGCTGAACAAGCTTTCATCATCGAGACAAGGAGGGGGGGGAGGGGAAGACAGACTCCTCCCCCGTGGCACATGGTTGATGCAATAAAAATAAAACCGGAGATGCTCGGCAGCGAAAGAGAGAGAAATGATTGAGGCAAAGATTTCTTTAGTTAGCGCTGGCTGCTCGATGATGCTTACTGTATCGAGTTTAAAGCTCTCCACACGTGTAGAGGGATGGATGGAGATGAACTGGAAAGTTTCCGGGGCGACTCGAGGTCGTGGAGTCCATCTTGGGGTAATGGCTTGGATCGAGCACAGACACAGGGTGCTAGACTCGGCGCTTGGCCATTAAATTAGTTTTGAACAATGTGGCCTTTTTAACCAATTAAGTAGTAGATGGGATTTTGTGAAAAAAGGTAAAGAAGAAAAGTGGTGAGGTGAGGGCCGCATGTCACAGGTGAACCATGTCAGCGTCTCAGCGCTGGGCGAGATCCGGCTGACGGATGAGCATCGCCGTACTCAGCTCTCATCAGCATCATCCCCGTTGTGCGGCGTCTGTTTGTAGTAATTCCGGGGCATTGGGGCAACAAAGTTGATATGGACGGACAAGCGGCCGGCCGGATCAAGTTATTAACGTTGCTCCCTTATTGATGCTGTTTGGCAGCAACCATTTCTGGATATGCTTCTTTATCCGTAGGTAGGTGCGAAAAAAAAAAGACACAAAGAACAAGACAAAAAAAGGAGAGAAAAACGGTGAAACGATGACCAAGCCACTTGCGCCGAGATATTCAGCGCGTGGCAGCGCTTTTACTGGCCCCTTTGTGGCGGGTAGGGTATGGAGTTGAGGAAAGGACTCGACAAGAAGAGTTGTACATTTTGGCCAAGGATTCGGTTCCCAAAGTGATGAGCCATTGAGTGCAGCGGTTGCACTGCCCTTCAAAAAAGGTACCTGGCCCAATGTGCGGGGACACATGTGCATTCTATTTAGCGTCGAGGCAGCGAGGCAGCGAGGCAGTCGGAAAAAATAGCAAGCTCCAAGAGGGATGGACGACGAGTAACAAGTAACAAGTACCGACGTGTGCAGGCCAGGAGAACGGGCAAGTACCTTTTTCCCCTTGACCAGCTCGTTTTAGCCTCGAAATAGGTAGGTTACCAGGATAAATAAATAGCGAGGGCTAGTCAGCTCTCGAGGGCCCCGCTTGCCTCGTGGTGGCAGCAACTAGTTAGGTGTGGCCGCCACGGCATGGCCATGCAAGTGCAAGTGGATTGCATACCTACCTAGGTAGACGTGGACCAGCCAGGCGTGGACAGCGCGTGGTATCGTGTATTGGTAGCGCCCGCTCTGCCGTAATCCGTCATGGCGGGCGGGGGACTTGCTCTTCTTTGTTACTTTTTGACTTTACGAATTTTTGTCTCCTCATGGAAAATCAAGTCACTATTGTTTCATGGGGGCAAATTGCGATTCAACAATGGCCGCTTTTTCGATCATGACTGTAAGAAATGGTCGTTTGTTCATTTGTGCCTGCACGGGCAGCTTCAAAACGGCAGCCCGGCGGCCCCGTTTTGTCATGATCCGTTATAGTGGCTCCAGCCTCTAGTTACCTTGGGACGTAGGGAATGGAGCTGCGGCCAGCGTGCAGTTGCAGGCAGACAGGCGTGGCAGGCCCCCAGGACAGGGCACAATCCGCTTTTTCTGGGTGGGCAGTGGGCACGCAGCACGGTCGACACTCGACAGGCATGACATGACAGGCCGAGTGCGCCAATCCAAAAAAAAAAAAAACTGTCGAGTAAAGGAAGGGACCTCGCCATTCATCTGCGCGTTATAAAAAAGAAAACAAGAAAAAAAGAGACAAAAAAAGAAAGTATCGAAAGGAAGGACAAGAATTAAAATTCTATCCCCGTCGTCAAAAACATCCCTCTCCTCTCTTCTCCTCAGTGTCTCTTCTCCTCAGTGGCGCCCCCCATCATACTGGTAGGTAGGTAGGTAGGTACCTATATTTTATTTTATTTTTTTCACGTTGCCTTTTTTCTCCCACTAGCATCCCTTTAGCTCAATCCATCACACACCCTCTCTAACTAACACCCTCCCACACGCCCCCCAATCCCATGGGTCATGGCAATACCTACCTAGAGGTTTACGGATTAGAGGTAGATCCAAAGCATCTTGTCTTCCGCCCATGTGCTCGCCTTGCCCCGAACCCACTTGCAGCGCTCCCTCTCTCTCCTCGTCGAGGTTCTCTTCCGTCCCTCTCTCATTCTACACACACCAACCCAGCCATTTGTCTTGTTTTGTTAACAGTAATTACTTTTGGCTTCCTCGCCTCCGGGTCCCCTGCCCTCGAGCCACGCCGTATTTTGCGGGTTAAACTGCCTTCTCGCTCGTCCCACCTATCCACTCTGCGCCCCCCTCCCCAATCTGACCTCCCTCTTCCCGTCCCAGATCTCCTTCTTCCCTCTCAACTTAATTTTTCTCATCACTCGTTTTCTTGACTCGTGTGTATTCTCCTTGTCTGGACCAAAACACGACTTCTTCGACCAAAACACATCGCTTCTTCTGCAGCCACTTGCGATACCCGACGCCATTGAAACACCACAACCCTGTCAGACCTCCTACTCTTCTCCACGCCATCCTACTCGTCAACGGCATTCGCCGCTGCTGTTTGAGAAACATCTCGTTCAACCAAACGCCTCTGTGACCGGAAAATTTCTGCATCCACAGGCCTTTGTTCTCTGCCCATTGCTTCCTCCGATTGTCGATCAACCGCTCTCGCTACCTATCTCATCTCTACGCCAGTTCTAGAACCCCTGTTTGTCCGACTTTTGGACCAGCTGTTGGCCTGTGTCCAATACGCCCACCGACACACACGCCTTGCCTCGCTACGCACTCGCATTCCCCTCACATTCTCCAACCGACCACTACCGTCTCTCACGCAAATCGCCATGCCTGTCGCTGCAGCGCAGAGGCCAGCCAATGCCGCTGGTCTGACCAACATTCTCAACACAGATGAGCCACCTGCCCAAAGTGCGCCGCCTCCTCAGTTGCGAGACTCTGGCTTCTACTCTACCGCCGAGGCCTCCAGCAAGCGTTCGTTTACATCTGCTCCCTCTGCGCCGGTCCTAGCCTAATCAGCGCCGTCGTTGTGCCTTACAATGCCCCAGTACTGACGGTGTTCCTTTTTTCTTTCTAGATACCTCTAGTGCCTCGTACAACGGTGCCGGCCTCAGCCCTGCCGCATCTGGATATCAGTCTTCCATTGCCGATAAGACACCCTCGCCAGTTGCCACAAACACTCTCCCTCACCACCAGTTGTCGCCCGCCTCTGCTGTCAACACTCATCCCCAGCTGTCACCCGCCTCTGCCGCCAACATGAGCGTCGCCGCCATGGTATCACCCACCGCGTCTGCCGGCCTTGACCGCCGCTTCGACCGCCCCGGCTCCCACGAGTTCCCCGGCCACTTGACCGACACCGGTCCTCCTTCTAACCTTCGCCGCGAGAGCGTCGATAGCAGAATCAATCAGGGTTTGAGTGATATGCGCCTCGGCGGTTCCCCATACACCAGCAACAATCAGTCGACGAGTTCTATTCAGAGCACACTGCACAACCAGCGCAACCCTCGCGCCGGCATGGACACATATACCGCCCATAGAATTTCCAATGGCTACCAGCCCAGCAACGACCGCAACCCGGAGAGCAAGACGGGCCGCACAGCTCCGGCCATCACGGGTCCCGCCACCAGCAACATTGCCCGTGCTGCCGAGCCCACCAAAGGTCAGGCCTGGGCTTTTCCCGAGGAAGAGATCAAGCGCGTCAGCCACTATGACGATTCACGACGGAGCAGTATCACCGACTCTATCGCGAGCAGTCAATTTACCACTGAGTCGCGTTTGCCTTCGGGCCAGCGCCGATTGGATGAGAGCAGCGACTATGCTCGCATGTCGGGACATTCATCCGAGTTTCCTTCTGTACACCATCACACCATGCAGCACAAGCAGCTCAGCGATCTCCAGGCCGAAGAGGGTGCCGGAGGCCCGGGAGCTCAACCATATAGCCGCACACCAGAGCTCCGCGTCAGCCACAAATTAGCCGAACGCAAGCGTCGCACAGAGATGAAGGAACTGTTCGACCAGCTGAGAGACTTGATGCCCCAGGAGCGTGGGTCAAAGGCGTCCAAGTGGGAGATTCTGACCAAAGGTAAGCAAAGCTACCGCAGCAATGACACGTTGCGATATGACAATGCTAACTATGCTGAACAGCCATTACCGAATATCAAAGGCAGACTGATCACGTTCGCATTCTTCAATCGCACTACAACTCTGCCGTCTCGGATAATGAGCTTCTTCGACGCGAGCTTCAAAACGTCAAGATGGACCTTCAAAACGTCAAGATTGAGCTGGCGCAGGCTCGTGGCGATGCCCACGCGCCCCCCTCCCAGTCGCAGAGCCACGCCGCCCCTGCACATCCCTTCCCACAAGAGCCATACTCATCGGCCTCTAACGGAGCTGAGCTTCCTCCACTGCGATCCATCAGCAACAGCATGTCCAATGGCCCCGATTCGATGACTGGGGTCCAATACGACGCTCCCAGATCCAACGGCTACCGTGACCGGTACTAGTGGAACGCTACGACTTGAAAGCTGCGATGCTCGATCTTTCGGGCTATCGTTATGACTGGATGAGCGAATACGATGTTGCGGGTGCGTCGTGATGACGCTGCCTTAGCTACTTAAGAGGACGGGCCTCTTCGGCTCCATGTGACCATGTATCCCACCATACTGTGCACACCGGTGGCTTGTGTATGATTCATTGCTCTGTCTAACAGAGCCGGCATTCATTCTCCCTGCATTCTTTTCATCCCCCAATCTTTCATCATCTTTTTATTTTCGTCTCCCGCCGAGGGCGATTGCCCTCGTCGCTTCGGAAGATGAAGTCGATATATACGACGGCCAGAGCGTTTGCCAGTTGCAACGCCGCTTCAATCTCTACAGGACTTTTCTTGTTTGGTTTAAAAAAAAACATGGGGCGTGAATTGGCGAAGAATAATTTATCTTGTTGCGTTTTGGTTTTTTCAACAGGGTCTCATCCCCCCCACAAAAATGGAGTAAGTGGTGAGAGCTGCATCATCGACCATATCGAGAGAGAGGGAGGCGGCGAGTCAATGTGAAAAGGAGGATGATACTCGGAGTCGAGGTGTGAAGCAAGGGAAAAAAATTGTTTTGTAGGGCTGTATATACCCAAAACGTGTTTACCAAAGGAGGGTTCGGGCCGCTGGGCTGCTTCTGTTATATAAGGCGGCATGAAGTGGGACATTGGGCAGATTCATACTTTAATCATCCAGATGGCGGCCAGCTTGGCAGCCAGTTATGTATTGATCGACTATATTGATCGAAGCCATTGCGTATGCACATGGCAGGGGAGCATGTGACAGTGGTTGGCTGCAGCTGTGATGTGATGATGAGTGTGGTGATGGATGGCGTGGCTTTGTGCGACTAGGGGTTGTTTATCTTGACGACGACTTGTTTGAGAAACGCCCACATGAAAGTAATTGGAGCAGGCCGAGTCCAAAGGTGCATGTATTAAGAGGAATGTGTAGATTTCTGCCACGTGGGAATGCATAAAGATGGACGCCAAGGTTGTGTGGTTCCTGGCGCGTGTGGGTGGTGCCGGAGAGGCTAGGGAGGGAGGGCCCGGAGGGGGAATGGCTGCATGTGAATCGGAAGAGATGTGACCATCTTGGTATATATATGTATGTGCATAAATCGATAATTAGCCAACATTTAGTTTTCGACATGATGGATCAACTTTTTCTTTCTTTCCAACTTTTCTTTCATGAACTTGATGTTGTTGCCGTTTAAAGAATAAGGCCTGCGGAGTCCCCCCCCCCCCCCCGGCCCGGCGGAGTTGCGGAGTTGGAGCTGCGGACTTGGGGCTTAACGGGGATCCGGGCTCTGGAGTTAACGGGCTGCTGCTCGGCGAGCCAAACAGGCGATTTGGTCGTCTAGGGCTGAATGTTGGTTTGTCAGCTCGTTCGATTCCCCCAGCTAATTGTAAGCACATGCTGGCAAGGTGAATAGAGAGAGGGGAAAAACTGGTGGAAAAGTTTATCGCTTGAGGGACAGACAAGAATAACACGTCACCACCGTTGGCCTAATAATAAACGGATACGTTTATACTTTTTCTGTTTGTGTGCTGCGGACATTTGGAGCATTGCTGGGTGACGCAAGTTTCCAGTCTTCCTCGGCCGTTGTTCAGTTCATCTATTTTTTTACATTCTTTCATAACCACGTTACTTTGATCTTTACTGATTTTCCTGGACAAGAACCCCCGCCTCCTCCAAGTTGAGGCTCAAGACCGCAAACAAGCACAAGGTCACCGCCGCCACCACCACCAAAAGAATAGCGGGGCCACCCCTCCGTCGCTGACAGCCCGTCTCGACACTGTCTTTCCCAAAGGGACAGGCTGAACGGTTACGACTTGGAGGCTTGAACCTTTTTCCCAGAAAAGCCAATATACGTCTTTTCCTTCTCCGCTCCGACAAACAACCTGGCGCATTGCCGAAGAAACAAATTCATCTCCCTCCCTGTCACCCCGTCCCGCTCCGGACCTTTTTTTTTTCTGACACCGTCCATCATGGACTCGTTTGGCATCGACCCCCTCATCAACAACAGCATGACGACCAAGATTGACACGGCCTCGTCGCTCAGCTCCCGCCAAAAGAGCTGCAACGCTTGCGTCCGCGGCAAGCGCCGCTGCGACAAGCGCACACCGCGGTGCACGCGCTGCGCGGCCAAGGGCCTCGACTGCGTCTACCACAAGATGCCCCCGTCGTCGTCGTCGACGACGACGACGGCGCAGAACAGCAGCTGCGGCGGCAGGACGCCGCAGCTCACGCCGGGGCAGTCCACCACTGGCAGCGCGTCACCCGAGATGGCAGATGTGCCCGACTTTGACATGGGCTTCGACTATGAGAGCCTCGGCACGGAGACGAGCCCTGAGAGCCTGTGCCATAACGTGCCGGACCATCTTCCTCTGCAGCAGGACCATCACCCTCATCATCAGCATCATCATCATCAGCAGCAGCAGCAGCAGCAGCATAGCAGCGCCAACCCTTTACATCTCGGCCCGGGCTTGGACTTTGACATGGTTGATTTCATGAACTCGGCGCCGCCGCCCACCACCACCACCACCCACGACCCCACGCTAGGCGGCGCCGCCGCGACCGCTGCGAATAACAACTTCTTTGCGAACCTATTCGAGAGCATCAACGCTGACACCACTACCGCCTCCTCCAAGCTCGACATACCTCCTGTCCCATACATCAGCACCGCGCTCGTCGCGCAGCCTCCCAAGACGCCCGTCCGGGACCTCTCTTTGCTGCAGCGGCCCCTGGTCTGCGTGGGCATCACTGACTCCCTCGCCGTGCACGATCCGCGGTCCTGGATGGGCTACACGCTCGCGGCGCTGAAATCGATGCACGACACGTTTGCGCGCACGCAGGCGCTTCCCTTTTTACACCCGCGCCTCTGGGCCACGCGCCTCCCCAAACCCATCCTCGACGTCTTTGCCGCCGCCACGGCGTATGCGCACCGCAGCCCGCACAACCGCGCCTGGATCATGAAGCTGCTCTCCGACACGGCCATCAGCGTGCACCGCGACGGCGAGAGCGCGGACTCGCCGCGGGACAAGCTCGCAAGGGTGCAGGCGCTCGTGATTCTGGACTCGATGCGCGTGTTTGACGGGGACGTTGGGCTGCGCGCCGCGGCGGAGCGCGAGGCGCACGTGCTGGGCGCGTGGATCGGCGAGCTCCAGCAGGTGGTGGAGGCGCTCGAGGCCGAAGCCGCGGCGGCGGCGGCGGCGGCGACAGTGGACCCGTACGTGCCGTCGCGGGAGAGGCCGCCAAAGTCGTGGGACGCGTGGATCTTGCTGGAGAGCGCGCGCAGGACGCTCATGTTTTCTTGCGCCTTTGTCTGCATCAACAAGCTGCTCAAGAATATCGACGTCGGCCAGGCCATGTGGCAGAATCTGCGCTTCACGGCCAGCAGGCACCTGTGGGAGGCGCCGTCGTCGGTCGAGTTTTTCCGCGCCTGGCGCGACAAGCCGCAGTACTATATCAGGGATTTTGAGTTTAAGGATTTCTGGTCGTATGCGCGTGCGGACGACATGGATGAGTTTACAAAGATTATGCTAATGCCGTAAGTCTTTTTCTTTAAGAAGATTGGCGAGCGACTGCTAACAAGAGAATAGGCAAATTGGAATGGATACCTTGGAGCACTTTATGGCCGGAGAGGATCTCTCGCATGTGCCTGCGGCGTAAAGAATTCAACGTCTGGATGGCAAATAGCAGCTGACTGATGTTTTTTGTTGGCTGCGCTGTATTACATTGTTGTCGTTTGCTGCACATAATCTTGTCAAATATTTGTATAGGCGTTCTGGTGGCGTTGGGCGGACTCGCTCTTGGGCAGAGCGTATTACGAAACGGGACGTGTACACTGGATGATACAACTCCTACTCACTATTTGATTGTTAATTATACTACGAACTTTGCGGTTACTGTTAGGGGCATTTCGATGTTGTGATTGCCATTGCCGTGGTATTGTTCCTCAGACACCCGCCACTCGCCACTGACAGCCCCGGTCCCGTGCGGAGGAGGTTGCAGCAGTCTACTTGAGCTACCATGTGGATGTGTGAGGGCTGCACTAAGTAGTTAGTCGAAGCTGACACAACGGGCCTTGCCGTCACCAATGTAACAATCGTGGGCAAAAGTGTGGTAACAGCACTTCCTCGTTTCTGCACACATCACTCCTCTACTGTCGATGCTCCTGTGCATGCTACACGAAAAGTCTTTGCAACGCTCGTTCTTTGTCTTGACATCGAGGCCTACTTATACAATGGCTCAACCCGTTGCGGGCGGATCCGGCGCCAGCAAGTCCGGCGCCAGCGTATCCACGCCATGAACGCCGTTCCGCGTCTGCTCCTGTAGCACCGTGACGCCCTCGCGGACCATTTCCGCGATATAAGTCAGCTCCTTGATGGAGCTGTCGACGCAGTTGCGAAACAGGCCGTCGATGCTGTATTGGTAGTCGGGCCGCCGATCCATCGAGGCGAGCCTGTGCGCGTTGTAGTCATGCTCGGCCATGGGGAGGCGCGAGCGCCGTTCAGCGAGGTTGTGGAGGAGATCGTTGTGCTCTGGATCGTGCGGTCGCATGTACGCGGGCTCGCCCGAGGAGAGGCGGGGCTGGCGAACGCCGGTGACCACCTCGACGAAGCGCTGGGAGACGAAACGGCCGAGCCCCGAGGGGTCGGCGTAGTCAAAGTCGTAAGAGTGAGGTAGGCCGGCGCCGATCAAGACCTTGTAGTTGAGGTAGGAGCAGCGGCAGATGCGCAGCTTTGGCATCAGAGCGCGGAATCGCATCGCCATCCACAGACGCTCGCCGGGATCTTGGTTGGGGAGCCCGACCCAGAGATGCATATCTGAATTCGTATTCTCCGTCAAAGACTGCTGCGTCATGATACAAACATTCGTCATGTGCAGCTCCTCTAGCGACGGCCCAAAGGCGGCCGCAATGCGCAGCAGATCCTCTGGCAGTATCATGATGTTCTTGAGCTCCAGATAGGCAGGCTTAGGTAGGGTCAGTTGGGCGCCAGGGCCCGGGAACCGCTTCTCCAGCCACTGGGCACGGTCCATGTTGTCGAGCGTCGTCAGCTGCAACGTGCCGTCCTCGGACCGGACCATGTTCGAGCCCGCCAGGCAGAGCGACTTGAGCCGCGCCGCGTGCCAGATCATGTTCCACATGGCGACGCCAAACACGGTAGCAGAAAAGGACCCGGCGCCGAGGCGGCGGACGACAAGGACGAGCGTCTCAACAGACGGGAGAAGCGCTTGCATGTTCATAACATCCGAGGGGTTCATCCAGAGCTCGCATAGGGTGTCATCCGCGACGCCGTCGACGACGAGCGCCGCGAGCGCGGTCGAGTCCTCGTCAGGCCGCTGGGCAAGGGCCTTGAGCGCGTTGGCGAGGACACGCGTGGCGGCGCTGCACTGCACGCCCATGACGGGGAATGGGAGGCAGATGCGCGCGCGGTCAACGTCGCGACAGTAAAAGAGCATCTCGGCGGTAGCCTGATAGAAGTCGTGCTCCGTAAACGCCGTCTCGCTAAAGGAGTACTTGTGCCGCAAGGCACGGCAAAAGGCGTCCATGCTTGGGAGGCTCTGCAGCAGCGTGCTCAGCGTCTCAACTTCGTCTACGGGTCCATGGTCAGTTTACAGCGCAAAGGGTAAGGCAAAGATCACGGGGGTTCCATCCTACAGTCATCTCGCAAGACAGTCATGTCAATGTGAAGGGCCTTGCAGCGATGGCCTATCGTCTGCAGGCCTTCTGGGCGAGGCTTGGAGTGCTTGGAGTGCTTGTTGAGACGGGTCGAGTCTAGGTTAAGTGTGCGGCAGCCGATGGGCCGCAGGAGGTGGTTGAAGTCGCGGCAGACGAGCCGCGTGGTCAGGACGTCATTTTTGGCGGCCGTGTGTGCAAAGACTAGCACAATCTCTTCGACAAGCTCGCGGGGGAGCCGGTTCATCATCGATGGTGTCTCGTCAAGGGCTGACTTCCACGCGCCCTCTTCCGGTATCGTCTTGACCAGTGGCCGAAACAGTGGATGGCATGTGGTTGATGATTGTTGGTTGATGGTTCCTCGAAGCGTGAAGCTTGAAGCTTGAATCTCAGGGATCGGGGTCCAACAATGGCGGTTGGCGCTAGCTGGGGTGGAGAGTTGGCGGGTGCAACCTTGTCAAAGCCAGAGGCACGAGCAGCCAGCTGAAGCAACCGAGGAACAAGGTCAGTTGGAGGGTCAATCAGTTGGTAACTAAATATTAAAGCATCTGGATTACGGGCGATGGAAAATTGCTGCCTACCTATACAGCCAAGGGAAGCTGCTGCTGTACCCTTCACGTGATGGCATTTATCGAAGCGCCATGTACTCTCCGAAGGGAGTAAAACGTGCGACAGAGTATCTCATATTGGACTCTTGTGTAGGTGAAAAAGAAAGAGAAAGTATTGTGTGATAGGCGTCTAGTTTCTCGCAAGTGATGCGAAAAATAGAGCGTTGTGTCATGGACAGGATAGTTGCCCGCGTAACTGGGTACAAGCACAGGACACCAGCAGTAATAGAAGGCACAGTGCCGGCGAATATTGATCTTTTGTATTCCTGTGTAATTTCACATATTCGTGCGAACCCTAATCTGCTCGCCGTGAATGTCAGCTGTTCACTGCATGGTGCAACGTCGGAGCGGCACGGTCATGCACAGCGGTTGTGCAGGGTGACATGTCGGGAGGCGTTGATTTTACTGTCTGGCGATACGGATACAACTGCATCAGGTGACGGTTGATTAATCAAGACTCGTATTGTATATAGTATCAAGGAGGCTTTTTGCCGATGCCGGTGCTTGAGTAGCAGTATGCCCATGCACGGAAGTGGTGGGATAAGAGGCATGGCTACGGTCGACGTTGGCTGCCAAACTGGGCAGGTGGTGGCGGGCGTTTTAGGGTGTTTCATCCGCAAATACGGAGTAGCTGCAACATGTTTACTTTCGTCCATTCAAGAGTAGGTACTCCGTACTGAGGACAATCAACTTGTGACGGTTTGTGATGGTAACGATTGAGGTCTGGTGGCTTAGGTGGCTGGGGAAGGAGGCTGGAGGTCAACGCCACAGTTGAATAGTTGATCGTTGGCCAGGTGGCCAATCCATGGAAATCAGGCCGCATACTCTGTACTTTCCGTCATCAACATGGGGCTACGGTGCTGCGGAGGCACTTGCAATGCGTGAGACCATGTTGTCACTTATCGGTGGGCCAGTGGGCATAACATTATTGTTGCGACTGCATTGTGTAACCAGTGCGACGCATTCCAGTCTGACGAGTGTTGCAGTGCTGGGGCATGACACTGCAATGCGACACGGACATGTTGTCGTGAAAGAGATGTCGTAGAGGCTACGGAAGAGAGACGAGAAAATTCAAAGACTAGGTTGATGCATGTTCAAGAGAATTATCATGTAGAGGAAAAAGGAAAGAGGCTGTAAAATCATGACGATGCGAGAGTTTGGGCTATGACGGAAGCCGACGCGGATCCCAGTAATTGGGGCCGAATTGGAGGCCCCAGTGGCAATGACGATGGGGGCAGGGGGAACAAAAGGGAGTGAAAGTGCCTACCTAATAAGTTACTAAGTTATGGATGAAAAGGAAATTGAGAGAAGAGCCCTGTCGTCCTGGCAAGTTACAGCATCCATCAATTACTCGCACAGATTGCTCCGCATGGCTCAGTAAAGAACGCTAAAACCGTTCAATAACGAACGGGCTCGAACGCCTCAAGCACCGCACAGGTGTCAGGCACTGACACTGCAGTAGGCCCTCACCAGTCACCACCACGTAAGCAATACTGGCAATACTGGCAAGGCTGCACAGGGATGGACAGGTGGATTCTTATCATCAATATCGGTGTATATTCGTAATTAATTGCATGCGTCATGTTTGCAACTAACCCTGCAATATTTGAATGGCCACATAAGAAATAATATCAACGGTGGTGGGTGGCAACGGAGTGGCCCGTCGTGTGCAAACAGGCCTGACAAGACTCGACTTAGCGCCGTCTTGGCAGCCCCCAACAACATGCTGTGAGTTCTGTGGCCAGAATGATACAGGCTTGAACTGACGGAGCATCATCATACAGGCGGTTTGTTTTTTCTTCTTTTTGTGAATTCTTTAGCGGCCCAATGTTACCTGGGTTGCATCATGTAACATGTACCTGCTGGCCCATCCGGCAACAGGCTTGGCAAATCTCATTCAACGTGATGCATTATTATTTACAACTACAGGTTACCCAACCGCTTTTCCTCCGCCCTCTCTCTGCCAGCCACATGCTGGCTGACGCTAACAACGAAGCTATCCCGACTAGGTAGGCAAGCCCCAAGATATGTTACGCTAGTTAATCATCAGTACAGAAGCATTATTTATCATCATCGTCAACAGCGCACCAAAAAGATAGCGCCACAGGCCCCTGCTACCAGTAGCCCCGGCGACTAGCGCCCATTCTCCTCTTGGCTTCCCCAGTTATAAACCCTGCCACTTCGGCCAGCTCTTGCCGTCCACCTCCGCCGACCACGAGTTCTGCCGCTGCTGCCCAGCCCACGCCTGTTTTTTTTTTTTTCCTGGTTGTTAACTGGCAAAAGCCCTCTCGTCATCCCGGCCTCTTCTGCCTCACCTCTCTTTCTTCTTTTCCCTCCCCCCCAACCCACTTCTGCTTCTGCTTCACCATCTGCCCGTCTGCTTGTCGGTCGCTTCAATAACTCTTTACTTGTATATTCATACCCCGTCCTTTCACAAGGTAATTAATTGTCTTCCATTCACCCAGATTGACCCTTCGCCACGGCCTCCTGCCGTTTGCGCCCGTCATCCTCTCGGCTTCTGATTACCGCCCGTCGCTAACCTCACATTCTCTCGCCACAGGTCATTCACAACCTTTCACATATTCACAATGTTCGCCAAGGCCCTCATCTTCGCTCTCGCCACTGCTGGTGCTGTTACCGCCCAGGCCCAGGTTCAGAATTACACCAGCTCGCTCGACATGCAGCTTGACCCCAACCAGGCCACTGCTCAGGAACGCGGTAGGCTTGCCATCTCCACGCTCATGGCAAACCCATTAACACGTGCTGACCTGGCTTCCATCTAGCCCAGTGGTGCAGCGCCGAGACCAACAGTTGCTCGCAGCTCTGCGGTAACACCGAGTCTAAGAACGACTGCTCTGCTGTAAGTTGTGCTGCTATTCAGACCTCGCCCCCTCAGCGAAATCGCCGATGGCTTTTCTAACCTGGCTTCACAGACTGACCTCAAGTACAACTGCCTCTGCTCCAACGGCAGCGCTCCTGGACTCCAGTACTATTCCCAGACGATGCCTACCTTTATCTGCCAGAAGCTCTTTGATCTCTGCAACACCAACAACGTCGGCAATGCCAGAAACCAAGAGGCCTGCAAAACCAACATCATGTCGCACTGCGGTACCCTGGACCCTACTAAGGCCTCCACGGGCGGCTCCAGCAGCAGCAGCACTTCCGGCTCCTCCTCCACTGGCTCCTCCAAGCCTACCAGCACTGCCGGTGACAGCGGTTCCGCCTCGACGACTAGCAGCAGCAGGGCCATTGCCGCTCCCACCATGGCCGCCGGCCAGGGTATCGCCGCCGCTGCCGCCGCCGTCGGTGTCTTTGCTTATCTCATTTAAGCTTTGCGATTTGCAACCAATGCTGAGCAGCATGGCTTGGCTCGGGGGTTGATTATGCCGGCCCCATCACCAGTTCACTTCTCTGTACCGATTACCAAACCAGTACGCCTTTCAGCCTTGACGATTTATTTCATCGACGACACAATACCTTGACGAACCAAAAAAAAAATGACGGAATGATGAGAGGGCTGGGGATATGTCTGGTGAGCCCTAGGCTCGAGCTATCACACTGCGCCTGGTTGCACTATACTGCACCATTTCTCTCGAGCCCTTAGATGAGGCAAGGATATGAGTCAGCTTAGTACAGCAAAGGGAGGCCACGAGGTTGGAGAGTCGAATCTTATTATTCTGTTTCTGCGGGCGTGTTTTTTTCTCATGATTCCATAGCAAAGGCGAAGGGAGTAGGCAGACACTCTTAATTAATTTAGAATTACCATACCACCGTTTACAATTGTTGCAATGTGAAGCTAAATATCTATTGTCTGATAGTTGTAGTAAAAACCTTGCCTAATCTGGATTTGCTGGAGATGATTGACAAACCACTGTGGGGGTGCTTGTCGATCGCCACGCTACCATCACGACCTCCAGCCAGCTTTACGACATGCATGTGGCTGAGCCAAGCCGAGTGCACCCAAAATGTCAGACTTGATTTGCATGGCACAGACATTTTTACAGCATTCAATTTGTAGCTGGTCAAGTCAACAACGTTCTCGATCCTGTCTTGATACCATTGATATCATTGATCTTGTCTTTGTTCAACGATTATCTTGATCTTGTCGTTTATTCCATCGATGTCCTTGATCTTGCCTTTTTTTTCTTTTTTTCCCAAATCAACGTCCTTGATCTTTTACCCATTCAATCAACGCCCTTGTACCTTGTATTCATATTCAATCACAAGATTACCCCCTTCTTCAGATTCTATACTGCGCCAGCTGTCGTCGCTATTAAACATTCTCTTCTCGTGTCGTTTCTGTCGTTTTAATTATCTCTTCTCCACAGAATGTTCAACCACACAACCCTCCTAATCACTCTCATCGCCATCTAGCGCCTCGTCCGGCTCCTCCCTCTGCGGCCTCTCCTCCAGCGCATCCTGCGTCTCCTCACTACTGTCCCTCCCTTCTCCACCCTCGTCCTCCTCGTCCTCCTCGTCCTCGTCCTCCTCTTCTTCTTCTTCCTCATCTTCTTCCTCTTCCTCCTTCTCATCTTCATCCGTTTCCTCTACCGCATCCTCGTCGGCGTCCGTCGTCTCCTCCGGCGCGGGCGACGCATCCACGCGCGCCTTTTTCGACCGTGGCGCCTTGTCACCGTCACCATTTGACGCCGCCGCTTTCGAAGCGGTCGTTGCAGCAGTAGCAGCAGCAGCAGCAGCAGCAGCGGTAGACGTGTCGCCGCCAGCCATGTCGGTGTCGTCTTCGTCTTCGTTGGCGCCGGTTGGCTTGGTGGCCGCCTTGACTTTTTGGCGGTAGGTGTTGCGCTTGTCCGTCTGTATGGCGTTGAATTCTGAAGCAGCGCGTCAGTAAAAAAAAGAAGAAGAAAAAGGCACCCTTCCTGCGATTCGGAATCAACCCAATATGATAGTTGAGGCGTGCGTGTACATCGTTCTCGTTTCTGTGTAGTACTCCTTCCAGTACAGTTGTTCTGTGGACAACGTTCTCGTGGCGGGGAGCTTCTTTCCATCTCGGGGCAAACGTACTCGCAAATTCAGCCTCAAGCGGCTCCTTTAAGAAATCAAACTCAATTTCCTCTAGTGCTTTAAACACATCTGCCGGCATAATTGTCTTTTTGTTCGCATTGAGCGTAATCTCATTCGCACTGTTGTCCATCTCATTAGCCGTTGGCGTCCCTCCTTTGTTCAGCATCCCACCGAGATAGAAGAAGGGTCATACTGCGCCGCAAGATAGCTGATAAACACGGTCGTGCTCTTGCTCATCGCCATAATTGCGTTTGCTTGGATTTGCGTGTTGGCCGGTAGCACGCCCTTGGCCAGCCGCGTGATGATGGACTTGGGCAACGTCAGGTCCTCAATCGTAATCTTGTCGTTCTCCACCGCCGCCGTCTCTTTGCCCTTTTTGTTGCCCGTTGATCCTTCAGTTATAGACTTTTCGCGGTCCGCTTGCGTCGTCGCTGTCGACAGGATAGAGTCGTCGACGATGTTTGTTTGTGATGTGTCATCGGCGCCGGCGGCGAGGGCCGAGACGTCGCCCTTATGCGCGTCTGATTTGCGAGTCGGCATTATGCGTCTATGTATCTGCGTGGATGCGAATCTTTGTGATTGCTGTCGAGTTCCGTGTGTGTATGAGCCTCTTTTAGACGCGGAAGCTCTTCCCCAATCGAAGTCGTCGTTGTGAGTGATGGGAGCGCCACAAGTTGCCAGGAGTTGCTGGTAGTCGTCGTTTATTGTCCTATCAAATCTTTCGGTCCCGGTACATCAGTCATCTGATAATGGTAAAGGTAGACGACAGTCAATCCGGACGTAGTAAGGCTGGGCAAAATGTAAAAACCGGTGCCTTTGCAAAGCCCAATTCGTTTGGCGGCGCGTGTCTGTCACCCGAGGGGACGCGTTTTTGCCAGCCGACTCCACATTTTCGCATTGTCTGACCACCACGCGTAAAGTGGTTCAAGTCACCTCGGCCGACGCAATGACAGAACCGGGCCTTGTATCATTTGCATGAAACAGAAAGAAGGTCGTTCGTCGCTGCATAATGAACAACTATTCAGATGAAAGTTTCTACATCAGACGATAATGCTATACTCGGAACCAGTTAGCCAAACGCGGGGTGCATCCATGCCATGTTCCACTACAGCCTCATGCTGTCAGACATATTACATGCATATAACACAACGTCATGGGTCAATGTCGAGGTTACGCAGCTGCTCACATATCAAAGCAAGCCCTATACGCCACTCTCATCATAATTTCCACAATAGAGTTGAGCGAGTTTCATTGAAATCTTCTTTCAGCTAGCCGTAGTCTTGCTGACCGTCATGTTCTTCGTACGCATCTGCTCTAAATATACCATGCTGAGCCCTGCTCTAACATGAAGCGGCAAATGCGCTAACCTCATAATCCATGCATGAGGATATTCTTCATACTTTCCAAAACTCCTCCAGGGTATATCCAGCCATTATTTGCATCATATCAATATTCAAAAGAAATGAAAGGCGAATATGTTCCGGCAACAAAAAAGAACAAAGCGAGAAAGCATCGTTGACAAGTCCTGTGTCATGACAGACGTATTCCCCTTTTTTGAGAAGCCCTTGCGCATGGCAGTATGAATAGATTCCCTTGTCCACTCCAGGGGCTCACAAGTCCGAGCGATTAATATATCTGCGTCAGAACCTTGCTTGCACGAGAAAGACCCTGTTCATTGAATCTGGCCTTCCCAAAGTGGTCGCATAACATCGCCTTGAAAGCCAAGGCTATTCGCCGGTACAACAGGCTGAAGATGCAAAGCTGGGTCGCCGACTGACAAGCAGGGTTCAACGTTGTGGATAACGCACCTTACAAAATGAAAGGTCAGGTGGAGGTCATTCAGCATAGTCGCCGTTTCCTAAAAGGAAATGAAGGGGCTTTTAAGACTGCCCAGACACGAGGTTTTCGTGCTATCATAATCCTTTCTCAGCCAATGGCTCGTCCAATTTCAGACTTGTGGACCGGTGGTCGTGGTGAAAGCCCACCAAGAAACATCTCATCGTCAAAGGATGCTCTTGGCGGCTTGATAGGGGTTGAGTAGGCAATGCTGTTTTTTGAGGCCTGGTGCATGGATCGGCTTCGATTTCGAGTAAAGGTCTCGGTAGAGCGGCGTGGCGGCGTGGCGTCTGGCTCACCACGATACCAGTAGTCATGCGAGAGCCCGCGGGAAAGTGATCGTGTGCTCCAAGCACGGTTGTGGCGGACCGTGCCCGACACTGGTGGGTGCTTGACAGGGCGTGTCTGTCGTTTGGGCTGAAGAATGAAAGCATCATCTCCCGGAATAGTGTCGTCAGTCAATCCAGGTCGAGCGTTGGGCGCGCGAGCGACCACCGGTGTGGTAGGACTATCGACGCTGATGCAGGAAGGTGAGATCGGGTGTAATTGCTGATCCTCGGAGAACCGAGACGGCGGCGTGTTATGATAGACGACGATGCTCGCGGATTTGTTGGACGAGACTGAATTGCTGTGTTGATGGGATTGCCCTTGCTCGAGAACATCGGACTGTTCATCCTCTTTGTCGACTTTCCAAGACTGAATTTCTTCCTCGCCAATGGGAGTAATGCCTCTGCGGAAGAAACGTGCCCTGCGCCTCTGAATCTTGTAGCATACCACGACGCCTAGTATGAGAGCCGCAACTCCTGGAATTACCGAGGCGAGAATGATGGTCAGGTTCCTGTCGGTGATGTGAAGGCCGCTCATTATGACTGTGTTTACAATTCTGAATGATGATACTGGATTGTAGTTGGGTAGTGTCAGTCCATGTAGAATGCTGTACAATTTGACCTCTCGCAATATGAAGAGCGGCCAATAAGTACGTCCGATAGTTGAGGAAGAGAAACGATAAATGTGCAAGCGATTGACCGAGATTGATGTTCAACAAGTGCGAGTGGCAGGATGTAAGTGCCTCTTGGTTTGGAAGAGAGTCGACATAAGAAGTGAAAAAAACTGCGACGAGATATCTATAAACAATGGCGGTCAGCATTGTAGTAGTAGCCCTCACCGAAGGCACACTTAGAGGCCAAGGTGAGTAAGTGAGGTCCCGAGCAAAACTGTGGATTTATCGACATGCAAAGAAAATAGGCTTACGGAACGTTGCAGGATGTTGATCAATAAGGCCAAATTTGCCCTGGCAAGCGGACCGAGGCGAGAAGGGCAAGTCCCCGGGATGGGGAGGATGGGGAGGATGGCGTCGTTCTATATACTTGATGAGGGGGCAGAGACAGACTCGTCAAGGCGGACGGGGCGGACCATCGTGGACACCATCTCAACCACTGTCAGCGGGGACGGCAGTAGACGGCAGTAAATAGACGGCAGTGAACGTGCGTGGGCTAGTCAGGACGGGTGCAAGGTACATGTAAAGCACTCCATACTGTCGACAGGTGACAGGCTCATACGAAGCATAACGGAGTACCCAGCAGGCTGATGCTGCACGTCTTGGAGCCGGCGACGGGCCAAGGCAAAAGAGGCTTGGGCGCTCGGTACTGGAAGAGTGGCAGGGGGGGCTCAAACGGTGGAGGAGCAAAGCTGCAGGTGTGCTGTTCTAACGGTGCAAGCGTGACGCACAGGCAGAATGGAAAAGTAATATGGCGTATGGGTTGCAGGCGTTTTGGTGTGGCAATGTGGTCGAAGAGAAAAGCGCCCATATTTTGTGAGGATCAGGGGTGATGACAAGTTAGTGGTGGTGGTGTGGAGGCGCGGGAACTGGTTCAGGGCCACAAAGCCAAGCAAGCCACAGCTCAGCACGTTTCGAGCATCGCATTCTGTCGTAATGCAACCAGTAGACTGCAGTATCTTACTGTATGGCGGTCGGCGGGCAGTGGCCACACGCCATTTTTGGCTTGCCATTTACTCGTCTGAGATTCCGAGTCCTTGCCTGGACTGGTATTTAGTGGCGCGAGTTGTAACAGTGTGAGATGTGACTATTCCGTACTCAGAGTGGTTCCTGTGGTATTGACAATTGTCCGTATTGTCCGCTCCATGTATTTTACGATGCCACCCGCGCAGAAACTTGCTGCAGTTGCACTGGGCATGATTGGAACCACACGCCGGATCTTAGTCTCTCCAAGTCCGTCGACTGTCACCGCCAGTGCTGTTGGGCAGCAGCGGGCGTGTTGTCTGTGATGGACCGGGGTTCACAAGCTGGCCATCATGCAGGCGACCACGTAGCTAGCCCCAGGACTGAGAGTGGCACGGCACTACTCCATCGGCCGCGATACTAGGCCTCCAAGTCAGGAACGAGAAACAGACTCCGCTACGATAATGTCTTTGTGGTGGAGAGATTGCTCTTTCAACCACACTAACCTGGTAGGAGGTGACGGCAACGCGGAATCTTAGCAGGATCATGGCTTGCTTGGTGTGTCCTTCCTTCTCGTCTTGCCTCAGATATTAATAGCTACGAAGATAAGCGCCCAGAGAGAATGTTTCGTAGCTGCGGAGTATATCCGCTCCCTTGAAGACTCCACAATCGGCGCAGCTTGATGGGGAAAGGTGCGATGGGTTGGAACAACTCCTTGCAGTAATTGACAAAAAGCCGGAGACTTGGCTGCAGTGTCAAGTGTCCAGCAGGCGGCAGGTTTGGTGACGCTCCAGCTAAAACTGTGCATGGGTGGGCTATTGATACTCCTCAGAGCGGCGTGCTCTTGACTGATGTTCCGTATCCGTTATGCTGTCCATGACACCCAGTCGATCGAGATGCCAAGGAATGGATATTGTTCTGGAGGCAAACCAAAACTTTGCCATGTTCCATTCGACCAGGATGATGATTTGGAAGCCGAAGCTGGCTATTGCGCCGTGATTCGCGTCGCTGGTGAAGAAAAGGGATCAATGTCTGAGACTAGGCGAAACAAGCCCGGAGAAGTGAGACCGGATTTTCATCCAACCATTTGCCATCTTTGCCAACCCTGGTAAAGAAAAGGTGAAGAAAAAGGAAATATATCGGTCAGTCAAGACCAATGCAAGATGCGTTGTACATGCAAAGTTGTGCGACGGCAGAGCGAGCGATCGAGGGCGATTCGGGTCAAGGCAAACGGATATAATGGGATAACGAACATTTGCGTCAGGTCGCACATGCTGCAAGCCCGGTTCGGGTTGTTCTACGATCAGCCTGATGAACATTGGCTAACATTGACAGTCATGCACTCACGATACGACGGTGTGTGCAACAAAATGCAAGTTAGGGCCTCGAAGCGGCAGCTGGATATCTCAAAGGTCAAATGTGAGCAGTCATTTTATCTAGCTTGGTGGAGGGGCGAGGAAGAAGTGGTGCAAACACAGTGAGATAGCACAGTGAAGTGAAACGGCGTACGGTGCGGCCGTTTGCCAGTGACCTTTGGTAGACGAGCTCGCCATATTGGGTGCATTTGAGCTCGTCTCGAACTAGGTGCCTTTGACACTGTATGAATTGCATTGACAGGTAATTCGGAGTAGCAATATGACACGCCTCTTGAGAGGTCTCGCTCTGAATTGCTTCGCCAGAACGATTGGCGCAAACGGGCTTGCATTAATATTAGGCTTCTTGGGTACGTCAGAGCTAGGCCTGGCAGCCACAGCACAACGCCGGCCAGCTCCACTGTGCCTACACAACTTGAGCGCCTCACCACGACCACCACGACCACTACGATCAACCACGGTCACCACCACGGTCACCACCACGGTCACCAGAGCCACCTCACCAGAGCCACCATTCTGCACCTCGAGCAGCCTCGCCAATCTTGCCCCCCAGGTTTGACACGCTTTGACTCTTTGGTCTAGAGGCGCATGCTTGCTTTCTTTCCTCTTATCTCGTGCTTCTTCGTCTCCCGGTGTTTTCAGAGACATCGCCGTGCGACCCTATTTATCTCAGACATTGCGCACTCACCAGAAGACATCGAGTAACTGCCTCTCAGCTCTACCTTCTCCCAACTCTGTTGCACCACTCGCCCTAATCGATCAGCCACATAGACCGAAGAAGACGCCGGCCAATATGGTCATTCCTTTTGCGTTTGCTACTCTGGCGTCAGGTACAGTGGGTGGCAGCAGACCGTGGTCGCCAACGACACATGGTACATAGGTACGCCAGGTATCAGTTGACTAATAAATGCTCTGTCTTCTCTACAGTGGTGGACTAACCTAGATACAGACCTTGGCCTAGAGGGTCTTCAAAGAGAACAGAAGTAAACTTGTGCATGAATATGCACGCAATTTCAAAGCGACAGCCACTTCGGATTTCCGTATTCGGGGCGCTCAACGGTCAAACAAAGCCTGGTATTACCCGGTCGATTTCGCCCAACCCAACCCATCTTGAGTGACATGATACACTCATCTCCATCACTCGCCATCATGTTACGCAAACTTAGTGAGTTGGTGGAGGTGACAGCTGTGCACCTACATAGTCGACAGCCTTAGCCGCTGGCGTAAAGCTCGCTTTTCCGTGCAGAGTGTTGCTGTGGCTTTTGATCGGCTTCCGCACAAAAACAGTCCTCGCCATCTTTTGGTTTCGCCGACCTCAAATTGGCACACCTCCATAAATGTATTTACGGATCATGATCCATATCCTCGCAACAACACCTCTCTGTCTTCCCCACACCACCCAGGTCACGATTCAACCGAGCGCCACCGCCGCCTCAACAGCTAGTATACGGACTAAACGGCCTGCATGCCCAGGTAGGGCTTGGCTACGGATTACCCCTGGTTGAAATGATCATGTGCAGCATCGCCGACACCATCATGCTGCGGGTCGTCCTGCAGCCTTTGTTTCCCAGAATGTGGACGGAAGTGGAAGTAATGGATCATGCCAACGCTGATTGAGTGTGTGGGGGTGTTTGCGCTCATGGTCGCTTTTACATGATTCGCTCGACAACTTCACCGCAACTTCCTTTTTTAATTAACCAGACCGTTGGTGGTGCGGTTTAGCCCACAAGTCATGCAAGGGCCGATTCGTCTGCAAGGTTGGACTCAATTCCCAAAAGAGACAGTAAGCAGCCCTCCAGTTACCGAAAAGCGCCTCTCCGAACCTGCCGTCGGCTATCACACCTCCAAGGTACGGAATTACACAAAGAGTTTCCTCGTGGCACACAAATCGGGCACGTCATGTCACCTTGCCCGAAATGATTGACCACATCAAAGCACAGCCAAACTAGTCATTTAATTCCAGCCTCGTTGCTAGTCACCACTACTAGTCAAAAACAACACAGCGACGAATAAATGGCTCGCCACCCCTGGCTTTTCAGCTCTTGAAACACTCCAGTGGTCAGCCATGCGGGGAAGCTGCAGGAACCAACCGGTATGACTTGCAGCGGCATGCTTATACATGACGAAAACAAAGTGATGATCCCCAGCTTGCATGTAGCTACCAGTACGTTTATCATTTCGCTCACCAGTGCGAACCAAGACGCGCGCGCGCATTGTTACCTGGGTGATTTCCCGTGTGTCGGGTGCTGACTTTGGCGCCACGAGCGCGGGGACAAATGACAAATACACAAAACTCGATAGTCCCCGATAGCTGAATGTAAGTCCTCAGAGTAGTTTACGAATATAGCAGCCGTCCTCCGGGGTAAAGTTGCGCGCGCGCGTGAGCCCGGCCCTCTCCACAAACTCAAATCCATCATGACTCTTTTTTTGCCCACAGCCGCTCCCGCGCCTACCCAGGGACGGGCCGCTTGGTCGATGCCCAATTGTGTGAGATCAAAAGGAGAGTGTTTCTGATATTTAGCGCAGCATAAAAAGGTGCCTGGTTCAATCGGCAGTTTGGGCACTCAATCTGCTGTACTTGGCTCGATGCTCGCCTCCCAACATTGAAGGTATACCTGATAGAGTTCAGCATGCCGTTCTTTATCAGCTCGCGGACGCTCCATTTCGTTATCAAGCCTGGAGTAAACTACATGCGACAGACGCTCAATGATATGCACGTCTTTGCTTCACAACTTTAGCGGCAGGCAGCATTGGAACAGGGATTGGACGGCTCTCTAACCAGAAACGAGTATAGAACGCAATTATCATGTACAAGCTCTCCAGATCACGCAAGAGATGGTCTCTGCGTAGATGAAGTCCCAGAATGGCCCGATACACATTCGCGTTGTGCCGCTACCCCTGACACAGTCTCGACCCAAAGCTTCACGAACAAGAGGCTCCAATTCTCGGTAACTAATTGATAGGGAGAGACGAAAGAAGCAGTTCATCAGCTCGACGGTCAATGCGCTTTAGACCACGGCATGACCGCCGCTCCCGCGTTGTCCGTGCGTTGAACCCTTTCATCAAACCGCAGTCGAAATCTGGGGATTTGGCTTGCGCGGCGCCTCTTCTGACATGACCTGTTGATAGCCTGCATCAACCCTAGCCGAGCTCAGCAAATTGTTCCTGACACAATCGAAAGAAATCAGCTGCCGCGCGGTGAAGATGCGGTGCAGCGGCCGCAACTATATGCACGGAGCGATTGCGTAGCCTGAATTTGATCACACCGCAATGCCACAATTGCCAAAGGCATAAAGAAAAACGCTGTATCGCAGATCGCAGAAGCCTTACTCACGAGACATGCTCTCTCCATTTCATCATAGTCTGCTGAAACAGGTCGAGACCAGCAGACGTCGAATCACATCAGCCTTTTAGCGCTGTGGGTTGTGCGCCAGGATCCCAAATTGGCAAGCTTCCAGGAGTTATTCGACAAGTAAAGTTACGCGACCTTGTACAGTCAACGAGAGCTGACTCGGTTCCCGAGCGTGGGGCGATGGAAGCTGAGCCAGGAGACGGCAGTCACATCCTCAGACTGGGATTGGCTCAGCATCGAAACGTAGTTTATTCATGCACATACAGTGTGGACATGCGGGACGATCCAACAAAAGGAGAGCAGACGAGACAAAAAAGGTCTAAAAGATTGACTAGTAGAAACCTCTCGACTTAGCACCACTGATTTTGGTTCGATGCTGCAGTAGCACTATGCATGTGGCGTTCTGCTGCAGGACGAACTACTGTTTGAACCAGCGCCTGGGAACTCCAAACTGGCGCAGCGAAAAAGGACAGTTTGCCCCAAAAGAGAAGCAAGGTCTGGCGCCGTATTGTGGTGAACAAATGCACCGCAAAAAAATGGTGCTACTATATGCATGAATGTCTGGCGAGGATAGCAAACTGTAGTTACGAATGACGGCGCCCGCCGGGTGTGCGCATGGCTGAATTCGGAAACAGCCGGACTCTGAAGAGCAAGTGCAAACTCGACTATTCCAGCTGCAAGAAAAAAAAAGAAAAAAAAAAGCAAACAAGCCTCGAAGAAGCAAGCGTGGTTAGCCTGTTTGTTCCTCAGAAACAATAGTGTGGCGTTCTAGTTGATCCGCACCACACGATTCAGGCACGGGGCTACAAATCTTATGCGCCAAGTATTTGGTCTCTTGACCGACAGATGAAAAGAGAACAGTATTTTGGCTAGGTCATACGTCGAGTTTACGTCACAGTACGTCACAAAGCAAGTATACAAGACAAAAGTTTTACAAGCCGTCAAGTCAGAATACACGAGTGGACGTGTTTGAGAAGAGAGAACAAGTTGAATATTGTGAAATAGCACGTACAAGACAAGAAACCGTTTTTTTTTCATGTAGTGTACCCAGCGGGGCCATACAGCAAGAAATACTCGGAAAAGTAGACAAGGACGACGAGAAAGACGAGCAAAAAAGAGCAACGAGATGAATCGAAGGGGAAAAAGAAAACGGTGATCAAGTAAATTCCTGACAAAAATAAAACCCTGAGCCCAAAACCCGAATGCAGTTGAAACCAGCACAAGAAATTTCCCGCAGACGATAAAGGCATGATACCAGCGTCACCCGAGTCAAGTTGCGTCTCCTATCCTGGCAACGGACGAGATGAACCAGAAAGAAACAGCAAGAACACGACCCATCCAACAAGATTGTACAACAATTTGAATGTGCCCAGATTGATTCCCGAAGAAGCAACCAATTGAAGGGGCAACGTTTCCTTCATCGTCGCCCCAAAGCCCAAGAGGAAAGACAAAAACCAATAATAACAAATACTGACGTACATCTCTTGTCCATGAGAAAAAGAGTGTCCATTCTTCCACGCATACAGCAGAATTGTTGTATCCCAAATAACAATAAAAATAATTTGCACATGAGCATCCATTCTCATTCCAAGGAATTTTCATCCCGTCTGACCAAAAAGTAAAATGTGGAACAGGCACCAAAAATCCCGTCTTTTTTGTTTCCTCCTTTTCCTTTGTTTCTTTCTTCCTGCCACAGACGCCTCTATTCCAACCTAGTTTGGGACCGGCATCCGGAAATAAAAAGCAGGGTGACGGATGCATTTCGGTACACTGCGAATAACAAGGTAGCAAGCGTCAAATAAAACGAGCCAGGCAAAAAAAGGGCACAAGTTCGGGTATCCAAGAATAATAGCAGCAACTCCAGAAAATAGCAGAATAGAAGACATCAACGCCCTCGCCCCTCTCTGTACAGATGGAGCAAGTACGGCATTGGGGATAGATTGGCGAGTTTGAAAAAAGGAAAGAGGCGAGAGAGCATTGAATATATCATGCGGCCCGGCCGCATTGACTTGTTATTCTTGCAAATGAGGCAGATTCGTCGCGAACACGATTATTGCGGCTGTTGAGTTGGGTTCCACCAATGCTGCTGCTGTTGCTGCTGCTGCTGCTGCTGCTGGGAAGGCGAGTGTTGTCCCTGCCATGCTTGTCCAACGCCCGGCTGGGCGGTACCAGGCTGCTGCATGTACTGTCTAGGTGTCTGATCAGCCGGATAGATGCCTTGCTGAGCTCCATATTGTGGCAGAGCTCCCATGGGCGGAAATTGCATGTTTTGCAATTGGCCACTTCCAGGCTGGCGAATAGAGGCTGGTGACTGCGATGGATGCGGTTGCTGGCCCTGGGCGGTGTAGCTTCCATAAGCAGCGCCTTGGGCAGCTTGGGCAGCTTGAGGGTTCTGCGACCACATTTGTCCGGACTGGTAATTATAGCCAGGTTGCCCAGCGTTGATGCTACCGGTAGATCCTGAAATTGTTAACATCGGTAGCCACTCGAGAAGTATGCTGAATACATACCTTGTCTCATGCCTTGTCCCATCTGGGCACTGATACCCTGAGAGTAGGGAGCGTTTGTCATCATCATCTGAGGGGATCGAGAAGCGACTCCGCCGGGCTGAGGCAGACCTGCAGCGGTAGCATGGGGAGACGCAGTGGCGCGGGTGGTGGGAACGGTATCCGAGGTACCAACGGGCTGTGTGAGGCTAGAAGGGGGTTGCTCGTGAGGCCGGTGCCATATGCCCTGGAGATAGTCGCCACGCATATCACGCTGCTGGTTGACGGACCTGTTAAATTCGGCGGCGTGGTGAGTCTGGGAGTGCAATTCCATGACGGGAGAAGGTCGTGTTTGATCCTGATAAGCCGGTCCAGTGATTTCCTGACGCGGGCCGCGTCTAACGATTCCCGAGTAGTCCCTGGGGCGGTTATCATTGAGGTCTGGAGCGACTGTTAACGTGGGCATCCTCGTGGTAGATCCAGGGCCTCCCAGCATACCTGGTTGGACGATGTGAGGCTGCGGCGCGCCGGGATAGGGTCCTGGGGCATTGTTGTAGACAATCTCAGTGTGAGGTCCAGTGAGCATGACATTGTTTTGGGCTTCGGCAGCCTCGCGGGCCTTGGCAGCTCCGGGACGCTTCTCGCCGGCAAGATCATTTTCGGTGAAGCCCTGCTTGCGGGCCTTGGTCTCCCAATAGTCATCACGCACACGGCGACCGTTTTCAATGACGCGGCTTCCAAACTGGCGGAACATGGATCGGGCTGTGACAATGGCAATCTGACGGGATCGGTACGAGAAGGGGAGAATCTCCTGCTGGACAAGGTCATCCTTTTCAGCTTGGCTGGCGATGATCTTGAAGAGAGACCTATTCTTGTTGAAGAGCAGATATGAATCCCTGTAGCCGAGAACTCTGGCGCACTCGGTGGCTAGCATAAAGAGCTTGTCACCACGGTTAGGCACTAGGAAAGTTCTGCAGCGGTAGACACGGTTGCCCAGAAGCTGGCCATTAGCCATGACCTTCTTCTCGCCGAATTCGTCGACTTCTCTTGGGATGTACTCATCGCCCGCTGGATTGAGTTGGTCGGTTGTGTGGTCGCGAACGGTGGGCAGAGCCTTGAGAGTTGATTTGGTGGGGGTCGTCTTAGGAGGGGCGCCGCCTCCGGAGTATGCTGGCGTGGGCTGGCTGGGAAGAGATGTAGCCTGGGACTGCGGCGTCTGGGGAGGAGGAAGAGTTGGAACGGCGGCGGCAGCGACAGAGGGCTGGGCCGCCGCCTCAGAAACATCTCCCGAGTGAGGCTTCATGGAGTTGGCTCGTTTGGACTGGGCCAGAGAGGCTCCTGCTTAGGAGAAAACGAGTTAGCAGATGGATCATGTCTAGCCAAATGTAGAGCTGATGAAAAAAGTGACGAGTGACAGTGGTTAGTCTACGCGCCATGCCTGCCGAGCTGGCACATCCGCGCTGTGCCAACGCACTGGCCGAGCCCGAAGTGGGCGCATGCGAGCAGATGCCAGTGTGTTGTATTTAGAGTAGAAGTCGTGCGGCAAGAGCAGGCATGTTGAGCACGCGAAACGGAAGCTTGGAGCAAAACACAGCAGTTGCAAGACGTGGCCACAGAGGATCTGTAACGACGTACCGTCAGGGACGGGTTGCGCAGCGCGAAAAGTGTCTGGAGATCGGGTTCGTTTCGCGCGACTCGTGGAAAGAGGTGAGGGGAGTACTACTGAGTAGAAGGCTAGTTAGCAGAGTGAAGGAGAAGAGAAGGGCCAGTGACGTATGGAGATCTGGCTTGGGGCTGCAGGGGCGGCGCGCGACTGGATGGCATGAGAGCTGGTGCGGCTCAAACTACAGCGGGGTGTGTCGCAGCGGCGCAAAGCAAGCTGTCATGATGCGCGCCATCGTAAAGACGAGCGACAAGGCAAGCGCGCCAAAATAGTGAAGATGAAGCAAAGCAGGAACGGGAGCGCTTACCGGGAGAGTTGAGGGCGGCAGGGTTGATTGTGGCACCTTCCGCGCCGCCGATGGGTTGGCTGGCGTACATGGCAGTGGCGGCCGAAGCCGTCGGAAGTGGTGGCAGAGAAGAAGAAAAAGGATGGAGTCGGGGGATCAAAGTTGGAAAGAAGCAGATGGAGACGCAGTTAAGACCAGAGAGACGATTTAGGCATGCATGTCGGCGGTGTGGCAGCGATGACAAGGTGGTGTCGAGCTGGGCACATGGGATGGGGAGCTTCTTGTGTGGTGCGGCGGCAATGGCCGTGGTGGTTGCGGCGGGCGCGGGCTAATAGGCTTGGTGGCTAACACAGACGGCGACGCGCGGTACTGGCCAGGCAGGATGATGAAAAATGTGAACCAAGATGCAGGGACGGACGAGGGAATATAGCATTTGACGAGTCGGGTAGAGTAAGAGGCGGGGAAATGATACGAAGTTGCGGATAGTTACCTTGTGAACAGAAAGTATGAGCGCTGCGACAAACGACGCAAAGCTGCTAGTGCGAGCTTGTTGGTGACAACGCGTAAAGGCGCGAGTCAAGTGACGAGACAAACAGTGAGTAACAAAGTCGGCCGGGAGGCCCGGAAAGTGAGTAGAAGGACGAAATGAAGCTTGAGTCTTGTTGATGAGGGCTTGCGAAATGGGAAAAAGAGCCAGTGTTGCGCAAGAGGTGATGGCGCAAACGAAGAGGGACCGTGAGCCGCAAAGGCGCAGCGGGAATCAATCGACAAGACGGGTGCGCGGGACGATGGACGAGCACAAGACGGGCGCGAAGCAGTAAGACGATGGCTTTGTCGCGCGACAATGCGTGAGTCGATAGTGGTGGTTGTAGCCGTGGTTAAAGCAGAGTAGCTGTTGGGTTGGGAAGCTTGGCTTGTAGTGTGGTGATGCAAAGCGTGCAGCTACGCGCGTGCGAGATGCCTCACGGTTGGCTGTGTGTGGGAGGAACCCGGTATAGCGCGGGTTGGCAGAAAAAGGCGGCGGGCGTTGGCCTTGTTTCGCAGGTGGGCGTGGGCGTGTGTGGTGGGCGGGAGGAGTGGTGGACGATGAAGGGAGGGAGGGTGGCCTGGAGGGGATGATGAGAGCAGAGGGAGGTGGTGGTTAAGATGATGGTGGTAGTGGTGGTGGTGGTGGAGATGGGAGGAGGAGGAGGAGAAGGAGGGGAACGAGGTTTGTGCAATGTATACATGCAAGGACGGAAATATAAATGGGAAAGGCATGCAAAGACCCATAGCTGCCCAAGGGTAAACTAGGTAGGTAGTCCAAGTATCGAGCAGACGAGAGATCAGTCATTGCAGTGGGGTGGCAGCCTGCCGAGACCTATTCCTTCGTCTTTCGGGTACCTGCTGCTGCTAGACAGGCAAGTTGCCTCCTGTAACTAGTGGGAGGGAGGGTGTCGATTTATTAATTATGAGCGGGCTAGCAGTGGACACTAGACAGGCATGGAGCATGACTCTTTTCTCAGTTATTTTGCGTTGGCTGTTATGAATACTCGAGTACATTGCGTACCTCACTAACATTCCTAGGTATGGAGAAGTATTTACTTGGGTATTCTAAGTAGGTCGCCAAGTCGCCTTCTCTCAGAACGCTGAGTACCTCGTACTTTCGCTGGCAAACTACAGCGGCGACAGTGGATTACCTGCTATTTAAATCACGGCGTTTGACAAGCTGCAGCCGGCGCTTGCCGAATAAAAATGCCCCGTACGAGGTTCCTCTTCCAGCGTTATTCTCTGCACGTTCATTCAGACCATGCAGTGACACCAATATGCATAACTACCATCATTACACCAAAAATTCGCAAATCACCATCAGTACAAATTCCGCAAGGATCACATCAGCTATGTTCCTGTCAGATCGCTGCTTGAGTCTGCTATGAAAAGAAGCCCACCATCACCGACAGCAGAGAGACCCCCCCAAGCAAGTAATTAGGTATCATCTCTCCCGTTCATCTGCAAGCAATTGGGGGGACTATCTGTCCGGTGCTAGGCTCCTTCAGGGCTAGCATTCTTCCGCCGACGATTCTGATTACGAGCGAAACCCTGATTATTGCTCTGCTCTGCTTCTATTGCCCGTCCTCGGAACCAGGTCGTGAGCGCAGAATAGGTAGCACGCGCGGTACCACGGAAGTATTCAACCCGAGCTGGTGACGGGGTATCCATAGGCATTCGTAAACAGACGGTGCTGCGGCTGAGAATAGAATGTATCTTTTTTTTTTTTCCCAAGAAAAAAAAGTCCCAACGTCTCATCAGCCACAGACGGGCAATCTCCAGGCTGCTTATGTACCAGCACTCTGTACTCCGTTTTCTTGCACATTCTACCTTGGATGACCCCGCCGCCACAATGTCTTGCAATCCGCGTACATTTCCTCCCCAAGGCGGCGAATAATATTCGCAGAGCACACTCCACCACTTCGGCGAGGGGATCAAGATGGGAAAAGAACGTCAAAAAATTTCGATGCGGCGAGGAAGCGCCTCTAACCCACGACCGGACCTCGGAGGGGAGACCTCACAAAGCTGGGGTAACAACTGGTGGGAGGGGGCGTGTGCGGCTGGGGGCCGGAGAGGGTTTGAGGTGTGGCCGCAGGTAAGTAGTACCTCGCGACAGCCTAAATCATTCAAGCGTGAATGTAACTACTTTGAAAGCTACTTCCAAGAATAAATTTATAAAATAAAAAGGCATATCCAGAGGGCTGCTAGCGTTGCGCTGCCCCAAATCAAGTGCGCCAAAAAAAATAGGTAGGTAGCTCCAGCTGCCCGCCCCTCCCCGCTAGCGAGCCTGGCTGCACGCCGCCACGACCAGATACTGATAGTTAGTGAGCTAGTTCCCCGCTCGCACATGGCTGTTTTTGCCTTGCCTTGCAACCCTCCCAGCACCACAACTTGGCGAAATTGGCCTTGCATTATCAGCCCGGGTCAACGGCCGACCACTCTCGACGTCAACCAAGACAGGGGTTGCTGTTTTCGCGAAGCAGGCTCGTCTTTCTTTGTGTTTTCTCGTCTCTTTCATCAAAGGGTATCTTCCCTGGCCCTCGCTGGTGCCATGGATCCAAGGACAGCCAATAACAACGCCGACTTAGTCACAAGTATGCTGGTCATCACTCAGCCTCTGTTCAACTATCTGATGACGGTTCCTTCAGCCTCGTTCGCTAGTCCAGTCCATATCGCTGATCGCCGGAGCATTTCTTCTCTCCCGTGCTCCTACGGCTCACGATGCAGCGCCTGATTTGTGAACCAGATGCACCACAAGATGGGACGTTTTGCCCGTGAATCCGAAGGCGAGAAGTTGTCAACTTCGCAGGTAACACCGGATACGAAATCAATGGCAGCAAGCATGAAATCGAAGAAAGGAAAATGTACTGTGCCACAAAGTCAAGTTCTATCAGACATGGCCGTATACTGAAAGGACCGTGGGGCGCAGTGTAACCTGTTCGGTTATTCTGTCAGCCGATTTGCGATCAGGACTGCCATATCCAATCAATGCCGTGCCATATACACTCTACATGGTGTATACGAATTACATTCGATAGCTTTGTCCGTTGGACTTGGCGCCGCATCTGCGCGCCCTGATAAGACGTCGGCCGTCAATCTACAAGCCGCGCCTCCAATGACGATGGCACAGGCATTCGACGAGTGATCAAGAAAGGTGCTTGACTATCAACACTGCTGCGGTGGCCAAGTTCGATAATGAAAACCTTGCTCGAGTGAAATCAACGGGCGCTTCCGACTGAATTTCAAGGCAGTCTCCGAATGGCATTATTGTTTCTATTCACCGACCTTCCCTCTGTCTCAGACCATCAATGGAAACATCAAAAAGTATGCTAGTGCTATTCTATTGCTCCTCAATCATCCGTGACAATAGAGTTCGCGCTTGGGGAAAGGGCGGAAGGGCAGAGTCCCGAAGCATGCTGATGGGGGTAGAAGGGAGGGGTGTATGGGCATGTGTGCGGCGCACGTTCCGAGCTCATTTGTTCCTTTCTTGTATTTTTTCATCGGGCGATCAGTCGACTATTGGTTTACAACAACAATACCATGATTTTAATATGTTTTACTCCCAAATGGCCTTGCCAGATATTGTCAGCAAGCCCCCACGCGGCCTAGAAGCTTACCAGTACTTCTGGCTGCCTCAAAGTGGAGCTCAGATCAACTGCAGAATTTCAGCTATATTGGCTGCTTTCGTACTTTGAGAATTCGCATGAAAAGGGCCGACAAGCTGCCCCTAGCAATACCAGTAAACGCCGAGGCACCGAGAAGCGGTCATCTTTCTTGTCTTCTCATCGAGTCGTTGAGATGGCTCATCTCCGGCGTAGCCCTCTGCATTTGTCTAGAGTACGGATACAGTAATCATCTTTTGTCGCAGAACCACCAAGAGCTGATCTGGTGCAACATGGCCCTTCCTCCTCACCCCACCTCTATCATCACAGCTAATAAGATAGTGCGCCCCTCTTGTTCAAGCACCCCTCCCCTTAACCAAAAAGAAAAAAAAATGGGCGCCGGTTCTGGCTCGCATCATATCTCAAACAGCTCCCTCTGCGCACGGCGTCTGCCTGCGTCCGCTAGCGCTGTTGGTCCAAGGCTAATTTTACTACGCGCTATTCCCAGCAATGGCCGTGATGCCTGTTCCCTGCTGCGAGCTGTAATATGTATCTCCAGACAGATCCGGGGGAGGAGAGGAATAGTACATTACATGGTCCAAAAAGAACGAGAAACAAAGTTTTCCTGTCTTCTTGCAACCCTTCCCCCCCCGGTTCCGTCCGACTTGTCTGCTTTCGGCGTCGGCAATGCTCATCTAATAGATAGCATGTTTCTTCTATCGGAGCCGACATCCACTTCCGGCGCACCTTGGTTGTCCGCTCTTGCCTCTGGGGGAGCAAAAAACGACTCATCAGACTCGATTTTCACGTCATTTTTCAGCTCAGCACATGAAAAGATAATTACCACGGACAGCAAGAAGAACAACGGCCTTCGGCCTCGCTTCGTACCCCTGATGTATTATGGATTGGATCGGTCCATTGGCTCGCAGATTCAGCCGGTCCACTTCCACGCCCCCAAGCC